GGACCAGCAAAGTCTAGACCCACGTTAGTGAACGGTGGTGCAGGCTTAATTCTGTCTTCAGGAAGTGGTGCCATCTGCTGACCAAAGGGTTTTGTTTGGTAATGGCGACAAATTAGACAGTTCCTTAGTGTCTGACGGACGGTCGATCGTCCCTTGATCACCCAAAATCTCTGTCGCAAAAGTGACAAAGTGTGTTCAACTCCAGCATGTAGTTCACGGCTGTGAATATCATCAATTAACAACTTAACAACAGGATGGTTAGAAGGCAGGATAATAGGATGTTTCTCCTCTTCTGGCAACAGTGACTTGTGAATTCTTCCTCCAACACGAAGAAAATGACTAGTCGGACACATAAACGGGTTTAAATTGGCAAGGTTGCTGTCCTTCACTGGACCATGCTGTTTACATGACGCAATTTCTTCAGGAAAACCTGCTTCTTGTACATGAGATATCAACCATTCTTCTGCATTTTGTATCTCTAAACCAGTTAAAGGGCTGTCAATTCTTTCCTCTTCTTTCACTCTTGAGTTGCTAACGAATCTTCTGATCCAAGCAACAGTTCTTAGCAAGCGACTATACTTGCTGAATCTTGTGAAGTCAATAAACGGCTCTTTGGGTTGCACAACACAACTGACACTAGCTTTACTCTTCCTCTCTGGGTTAACAATTTCACTGGAGGGTTTTGACCTTAAATCCTCGGGCCAATCTTTTTCGGACTCTTGCAACCAAGAGGGTCCTTTCCACCACAAATGACTCTCTCGTAACTGACTTGCAGATAAACCTCGGGTAGGTAGATCAGCTGGGTTCTGCGGTCCTGGACAATACCTCCAAACACTGGGATCCAGCAACGACTGAATTTCAATAACACGATTAGCAACAAATGGTTTCCACTGTGAGGCTGCTCCTCTAATCCAGTGTAACGTTGAAGAATTGTCTGTCCAACAAACAATGCGGCTAATGGGACAATCTATTGCACCTTTGACATAGGTGCAAAGTCTAGCAGTAATTACAGCAGCCATCAACTCTAAGCGCGGTAGGGTAATCTTCCTTACAGGAGCCACTCGGGTCTTGGACATCACAAGACTGGTAGATACCCTTCCATCTTCACAAACAACTCTCAGATAAACTGCAGAGGCATAAGCAACTTCTGACGCATCACCAAATGCGTGTAGCTCTACTTTGGGGTTCTGACCTAATGGCAAATCAGTGTAACATCTAGAAATTTGAAGGTGTCCAAGTTCAGAAATCTCTTGAACCCACTGATTCCATTTCGATGAGACTTCCATGGGAATTTCCTCATCCCATCCAACACCCTTGGTCCACAAGCTTTGAAGAATTAATTTTGACCTCACTGAAAAGGGTGCGATTAGACCAATCGGATCAAATATCTTTGCTGCTAAAGACGCCACCTTTCTTTTAGTGTACACTGTCTTTGATCTCGACTTAACAATGTCCACATCAATTGTAAAGACAAGGTTGTCAGTAAGTGTATTCCACTTTAATCCTAATGCTTTTGTGATTGGATGTGCTTCTGCTAGATCACTTTCCAGGCTGACAAGACTAACTGCTGCTCTGTCCCTCTCTGGTATGGCCTCCATAAGCTCAGATGAATTGCTTGACCATTTTGTCAAATTAAAGGCAGCTTTCTGCATAAGCTCAGTAGCACTTCGCTGTAATTTCAGCGTTTCCTGCACATTGTCTCTCCCTGAAGCAAAGTCATCAACATAAGTGTTCCTCAAGATTTCATTTGATGCAACAGGGAATGTTTCTTTACACCTTTTCACATGCTCTTGAATAGTGCCAATGGCAAGAAACGGACTGGAAACAACTCCAAATGTGACCCTTGTCATTCTGTAAATCTTAGGCGTGGCCTTGGGGTCCAAATCTCTCCACAGATACCGGTGTGAATCTCTGTCTTCTTCTTTTAACCGAATCTGCAAGAACATCTTCTCTATGTCACCCATGATACCAACATAATTCTTTCGAAAACGCAGAAGAATTCCGACCAAATCTGGCTGTAATGCTGGGCCTGGCTCTAAGCAGCTGTTCAGAGAGACACCATTGCTATCTTTCGCTGATGCATCAAACACAACTCTTGTCTTGGTTGTCTGCTTGTCTTCCCTGATGATCGCATGATGAGGGAGATAGAACACCGGACGCCCATCTGTTGGTGTAATTTCATCACAAGGTACTTCTTCAGCAACACCGTTCTCAACATACTTGTTAATCGCTTCTCTGTACGATGCAGCTTTCACTGGCTCATGGAGCAGCTTCTTTTCTAGATTGTACAACCTACTTTCCGCTTGCCGGTAATTATCTTTCAATGAAATGCAATCTTCCTTCCATGGTAAGGATACTTCATAGCGACCATCATTGTATGTTAGTGTCTCTTTAAACTTCTTCAAGACCACATCTTCTGCATGAGTAGTAGAAATTGAACTTTCAGCAAGTCTGACACCAATGGACCCCAAATCCCAGAACTTTTGAAGTGTTTCATTCAATTGTTCTTCAACACTAATTTGAACATTCATAGACAC